CCTCTCTCTTCCCCTCTCCCACCTCTTTTTCCCAGTCTCCCCCAGTTTTGTTCAATAAAGAGAGATTCTATTTTTGAACACACGTTTTCTTTATTTTGTACATCAGGAAGGGGGGTTAGCGAGGGGTAAGTGGAAGGAGGTGAGGGAGGACTGGGGTACGCGCCCCCGAGGGGGAGGACTGGGCTGGCTCTGCGGGCTTCTCGGGGTGGAAGTTCTCCTGCAGCCCCCCTGTTTGCCTCCTCCCCCCGGATGGCAGCCTGTGGCAAGTGCAGCCGGGCTGATGGCCGAGTGCTGTGATGTTCTGCGTGTGGGCACTCAGGGCACTCCAAGCCAGGACTGTTTTGCAAGCGGGGAACCCTGAGAACTGTCTGTCCGGGGTGGGGGTCGGATCCCTTTAAGCACAGCCCTCGGCTAGCCTGAGGCATCAGCTCCACGCTCTAAGTCCTCATGTGATGCCCTGCCGGCACTGCTTCCGGCCATCCTTAACCTCGGTTCAGGGTCCACTCTGTGTGGACATGCTAGTTCGAATTAGCAAAACGCTAATTCGAACTAGTTTTTAAGTCGAGATGCGCTAGTTTGAATTAGCTTAGTTCGAATTAACTAATTCGAATTAAGTTAGTTCGAATTAGCGCTGTAATGTAGACATACCCTTACAGTTTGCACGTTACCTCTGAATTTGGCCTGCTTAGTCTAACTGAAAATCAGGAAGTCCAAGATAACGTAACTCATATACCAAAGGCCAGAAGAAAGCACTACAGAAAGGAAGGGTGTAAGAATGTGTAAGTAGGCCATTTCTCCTTTTATCTTCTTCTAGTATCACAATCATTTAAATTACTCCAACTTAGAACCCAACTGTGCACTCATAGAATCACATCCACTTATTGATATCTATTGAGTCTAATTTATAGTAATTTACGTTACTTCAAAAAAGTGGTTACAATGCAAACAGGTGGAATTAGAGGAGAAACAGAAGCAGGATCCTCCTAAATTTAATGGGGGAGTGGCTGGTAGTACAATGTTCTCTAGGAGTTGCTTTCAGTTCTGGAAATAGCTCCCCCCTCAGAGCCAAAATAGTCTTGATTTGTGGGCCTCTAGGGAGCATTACAAGGCAATGTATTTCAGACTATTGCAGGGAATGGGGAAGTTATGAAGGAATTTCTCAGAGCCAAAATAGTATTGATTTGTGGGCCTCTAGGGAGCTTACAAGGCAATGTATTTCAGACTATTACAGGGAATGGGGAAGTTATGAAGGAATTTGGATCCGTGGAAGAGAAAGTGGTTTGGCAAGCTGTTACATTTTATTCTTTCTCTAATTTTAAGGATTTCCTAGAGCCCTTGATAGGTTCCATCCTAACGTCTGTACAGTTTTAAAGAACTAATAACCAGTTTGGCCCTGCATATTTTATATATACATAACATATTTTGCCACCATCACTAGTGAGCAAAGAATGTATGACATCGCTAGAGTAACAAATACCATATATGTCACAGCCATGGTGTCGCTTCACTGCAGCAACATTCTAGAACTCTACCACACTCTGTAGCCAAGAATTTAGCATGTCTTTAAACCGATCCTGGACTGAGTATAACATTACATTTCCAGGTTTAACTGACTTTTGACTACAATTTAGATTCATGGCTACAAATACTTCAGAAAAAGAAGAAAAATTTAAAGTTATGTTTGATATGGCAGTAGAGCTAATATCCACTGACAAAAACGCCTTCATTTCTGAAAAATCAGATAAAAGGCATTCATCAGTTTCTTTAATGCTGGACCAGAAGATACCAAGAGATTTACCTGCAAAGGACATTTTGGAAGAACACGATTATAAAGCTGTGCAAGAAGATGCCAACTTCTCCAGAAAACTGCATTACCATAGCTGTCACCAAAAAACAGTAGAAACAGGAGAGATAAATGTACTTCTTTCTCTCTCCTTTCCCAAAAAACTGTGGAAAATAGTAGAAAGTGATGAGTTCAAGTCTATTAGTTGGAATGAGAATGGAGATTGTGTCATTATAGATGAAATCTGCTTTCAGAGAGAAATCTTAGACCGAAGAGGCATCTTAAGGATTTTTGATACCGATAGTATGAAAAGCTTCATTCGACAACTCAACCTCTACGGATTCAGTAAAATACGTAAAAATATCATTTCACCTCATTTTCAAGCAGAGAAAAACAGAACCAGAGCAAGAATACTGGTAAAGCTGTGAAAATCTATGTTTTAAATCATATCCTTGCTTTACATAAGGGGACACATTCTTGAGTCTCAGCCTGCCTGCTCTTGGCACAGCTCAGGAGAGGGTGAGGTACAAATATGGCTTTAATGTATGTTTGTTCTGCCCTACTTCTTGAACAGGCGATACTGGGAGAGTTATAGGACATTGCAGAGAGCAACATGAGGGTGCTGTATATTACACCAATTGCCTACAACTCTAAGGAGCTGTGACTGGGTCACAGGGATCACTTGGCTGTGCTGAGCTGAGTGTTGTCTGTACCAGAGATACATTTGGGATGATTTTATTAACAAATTGTATTATGACATTACTGTGCCCTAGAAGGCCTCTATGAATGCAGACCCCTGGGGTTAAGCAGGGTTGTGTCATGTGTCTGCCAGGCCAAAGCCAATGGTGAATGATCAGCAGCACTTAACAAATTGTTTAATGAGGCTATAGGTTTGCTCTTCCTAGAGAAGACACTTCCTCTTCTTGTTTGAAGGGGTTTGGGAATAATGGAAAATTACCAAAAGGCAGAACAAAAGAAACAGTTTCAAGCAGAAATATACAAAAGAACTCTTGGAGGCGTTAATCTGGGGGGAACTATTTTCCACCAGATTAAACTAAGGGAGAATGCTGCACTCTGCAGGGGCAGGGTAGGGGTACATTCTTGTCTGTGGGAGCACATATGATCCTCCAAGGACCCCGCGGGAAAGGTAAGCCAGTGAGGAACATTGCATTCAGGGTATTTTATTGTTTTGTATCATCTGTACTCTCCTGAGGTTTATCTATTAAGTTAGTCAGGAGTATAAAGTTGCTGAATAAAATGTGTGTGTTCACTGCTTTAAAACTGCTGTATGGGCCTGAGAAAGTTAAACTATGAACCGAAAGCCTCACTTTTTGGGGTGGAGTTCTGGGAGAGGAATGTGATTAAGTACTGGGGAGTCTGAAGGATCAACACTGTGTCCAGAGTGGGTAGGCAACAGGACAGCAACTTTCAGCACTTGGAAGGATGGTACTAGAAGATCTACACCCTGAGGCCTGGTCTATACTACAGCGGAAGGTTGAATTAAGATATGCAACTCCAGCTATGTTAATTACATAGCTGGAGTCGATGTATCTTACTTACATCACGTTTCTGTGCCATCCACACAGTGGGAAGCCAACAGCAGGATTACTGGTGCCAATGTGGGCACCCTCTGAATTCGATTTAACAGGTCTTCACTAGACCCGCTAAATCAAACTCCAGAAGATCAACGTGGCAGCATCGATCTTCCGCATAGTGTAGACATGGCCCAAGTATGCTTCTAGGGATCCTGAGATTCATGCCCTGGGAATTCATAGGAGAGAGACTCACAGCTGTAGTACTGGATAGCCAGGAAGGGGCACTCTCTAGGATCTGTGGCAAGAGCTAGACCCATTCCCTCTTTATTATTTATGCACTATCTGCAAAAGAGGTCTCAAGTCAGCCCCTACTGAAATGACTAATGTGGCTGGCATGTAAAGTATCCTTAAAGTCATAAACGTGCATAGTTTTTTAAATGACTATGTGTAGCATAGTGAAAAGAAATACAACTGGGCTACGTCTACACTGGCACACTGGCCCCTTTTCCGGAAGGGGCATGTAAATTTCACTCGTCGTCGTAGGGAAATCCGCGGGGGATTTAAATATCCCCCGCGGCATTTAAATAAAAATGTCCGCCGCTTTTTTCCGGCTTTTAAAAAAGCCGGAAAAGAGCGTCTAGACTGGCCCCGATCCTCCGGAAAAAGTGCCCTTTTCCGGAGGGTCTTATTCCTACTTTGAAGTAGGAATAAGACCCTCCGGAAAAGGGCACTTTTTCCGGAGGATCGGGGCCAGTGTAGACGCTCTTTTCCGGCTTTTTTAAAAGCCGGAAAAAAGCGGCGGACATTTTTATTTAAATGCCGCGGGGGATATTTAAATCCCCCGCGGATTTCCCTACGACGACTGGTGAAATTTACATGCCCCTTCCGGAAAAGGGGCCAGTGTAGACGAGCCCCTGTAGAATACCAAAACTGTCAATAAATTAATTAATCATGTATAATTAGGAGGAAGGGACTATAAGATGAGTATGAGGTAGAACTTTCTCCAGTGAGCCCTGTTAGAGTATCCTTATGGTTTGGGATATTTAAAATGAGATTAAGCAAAGCTCTAGAAAAAGTATTGTAGAGAACACCACACCATTGCCCCAGACAGACAGACAGACCAGATTCATTATTAGATCTTTCTTCTGCAGTTACTATGATTTCACTTTAATATTTTTTTAAAAAGTCATTCAGACATACAATTTGGAAAACTCTTTCACGACTTACAACGTGGTAACATCACGCTCAGGTTCTGTTTTTTACATAGGCAAAACTCCTATTGAGTTAAATAAGAGTTTTATCTGAGTAAGGGACACAGAATAGTCAGCTTTTATTGCTAGAGAGAATCTGAGGTTTAGTATGATCGAGTTCACAGCATACAGTCTCCAACCTTTTTATGCCCAAGATCACTTCCTGAATTTAAGGGCAACCCAAGATCTACCCTGCCCCTTCGCTAAGGCCCGGGCCCTTCCCCAAAACTCCATCCCTCTCACTCCATCTCCCCCTCACTTTTACTGGGTTGAGATGCAGGAGAGGGTGTGGGGTGCTGGTTGAGAGGGGCTTCAGGGATGGGGCAGGAGGTTAAGTACAGGAAGGGGTCAGGGCATGGAAAGGGATATAAGAGAGGTCAGGCTGGGGCAAGGGTGCAGGAGGTTCAGAGTGCAGGAAAGGGTATAGGGTGCTGGCTATGGGAGCGGGCAATGCTGACAGTGGGCGATTCTAGGTTGATGGTGCAGTGAGGATGAACTGAAGCAGGCACCCTGCCTGTCCTTGCCCCACACTGCCCCCCAAGAGGGGCCAATGCACCCCCCCTTCACACACGCGGGGCTGTGAGGCTGCACTGGGTGCTTCCAGAAATGGGTCAGCACTGAGTAGCATGGGACAGAGACAGGCAAGGAGCCAGCTGATTGCAAACTACTGGAGGACTCACCAGGATCGACCAGTCAAATCACGATTGACCGGTTGGAGATCATGGATGTAGTCCAGGATCAACCAGCCAAATCATGATTGACCGGTTGGAGATCATGGATGTAGACAATAGGCACTGACATTTTTTATGGCAAGGTATTTTACATTTGTTTCACAAGTTAAAGCATTCTGAACCTGATTGTTACATGTTAAATTAAGAAGTGTTTGGGATTTTGTTCCAGTTGTACCACAATCCATATTTTAGAAGAGGGTACCCCTTTCTCATTCAGAGAATGAAGAGAAGAGTTGGCATCAAAAGTAACGAACAGCCAAATCCCATCAATCCGAATTTGAAGAGAAGAAAGCCAGCTGCCCCAAAGAAGTATATTTCCTTTCAAGATTCAATTCAACCAAATGACCTGCAAATGCCTTGTCTAAAAGAAACAATGTGTAACAACCGACCAAAGAAGTCAATAAATGCAGGGAATGGTAAAATGAACCATTCCTACCCAGTCTCTACCCCATGGATTTTGGAAAATGTAACTGAAAACTCTATACAAGATAATATTTCTAGCCAAAGAAATCCATATATGGATAGTAATGCCACCGGCTCAACTTGTCCAGATTTTCTCCTGACTCCAGAAATAGGGCTTGAACCCTCAACAGGACTCCATCATTTACCTTCAACTTACCAGGACTTTGTATTCATGAATGCTCAGTTTACTACTTTAATGTCCTTTTGGAACCCCTGGTTTTCAATGTTGATGGCAGCAGCTTCAACTATTCCTTTGACAGAAACTCTCAACCAACAATTTACTTCTCCAGGTCAGCCTTGTTCTTTATGCAACTGCCATGGTAACACTGAGCCTTCTGCCAGCTATGCTTCTGCAAATGCAAATTCTTCAGATCTCTTGTGACTGACAAATTACAGTTTATAATGGCTGAAGCAGATCATGTCTTTTAAAAATAATATACAATTAAACTGGTTAAAAAGTCTAATTAATGGGAGTATTTATTTCTTCTTTACACTTAAGTGTCCCGGATAATCATCATAAACAAGGCTGTGCTAGAGATGATTAAAAATGCATGCTTCCATGCACCAGTTGTAAAACAAGTCAAGCCAGTAGTACTCTCACAGCTCTTTTAGACCTAGGAATTATAATGCCCCAATCCTGACACTCAGAACTTCACAGGATCAGGTCACTGTAGAAATCCCTTCTTTTGGATTTCCATTTCCAAGTGAAGGTTTAAGGGAATAAGTTCATCTAATTATCTTTAAAAATCTTATACTTGTACAGTACTTACACAAGTGTTTAAAAAAACCCATATAGCAGTTTCCATTTTGTAGCCACATTAACTCCATGGAGTACTGCATTCGGTTCACTTCCGTGCCAGAAAAGAGACTGACAAATTGGCAAGAGTTCAGAGAACTATAATAGTCGAAGGAATTGGCTTATCAGGAACGGCTGTACAAAAAATATGCCACAAAAAAAAAGTGGGTGGAGGAAAGTATATTTGAAGGGTGTAAACACGTAGGATGGAGAATTACTTAGGGACATTCCAAGAGGGGAAATAGAATTAATAGGTTGAAATTAAAAAAGGGAAAATGCACACTGACCTGTGTATCGAGAAAATATTCCTGGCAGTGAGATTGCTCTCACAGTATAATAGTTTTTCAGCTGAGCTGGTGGAAGCCTTTGTGAACATATAAAGCTGTAGATAAACATGAGAAAATGTACTCCAGGGAAAAATTCTGTTCTGGCAGACTGGGGGATAGACTGGATATCCTAATAGGTCTCTTTCATTTCTAATTTCAAGGAGTCCAGAATTCTGCAACAATTTAGATATCTACAATCTCTCTCTCTAATCCTCATATTTAAAACTCATGGGAGTAGTATCAATTACATATAACATGTGTTTGCACTGAGACATCTCAATTTGTATTAAGTTACATTTCCTCCGCTACACAGAAGGTAACGGGGGAGTAACAATACAGTAAAATATATCTACACCGATCAGAGGAGAGGATAAAAATATAATAAATGTAAAGTTCAGGCTTACAAAACAGTATATACCTATTGATTAATTTCATAGAAATTGACAATAGGAAAACACACATGAGGTTGAAACATGTTCAACTAGAAGACTTATCCTGTGTTGCTTGGGTCCTTCAGGGCAGAGGGCTGTGGTGTGGGGGATACAGGAGTCAGGGCAGGGTCTAGGGGACATGGGGGAGAGCAAGGACAGGAGCCTGGGGAGCAGGGAGCACGAGAGTGAGGATTGGGGATGAGGAGAGGCTTTCTCTTGTCCTCCCTCCCTTCTCTAGCTGGCAAGCCATTTTCTCTCCTACCAGCCAGCAGCAGCTTTCTCTTCCCCCTCACATCCAGTGCTTCAATCAAGGGTTGGGGGAGGAGGAAAGGGTTTGGGGTAAAGGGGCTACTGTCTGGTGCTAAGTTAGAAGACTTATCCTGTGTTGCTTGGGTCCTTCAGGGCAGAGGGCTGTGGTGTGGGGGATACAGGAGTCAGGGCAGGGTCTAGGGGACATGGGGGAGAGCAAGGACAGGAGCCTGGGGAGCAGGGGGCACGAGAGTGAGGGTTGGGGATGAGGAGAGGTTTTCTCTTGTCCTCCCTCCCTTCTCTAGCTGGCAAGCCATTTTCTCTCCTACCAGCCAGCAGCAGCTTTCTCTTCCCCCTCACATCCAGTGCTTCAATCAAGGGTTGGGGGAGGAGGAAAGGGTTTGGGGTAAAGGGGCTACTGTCTGGTGCTAGGCAAGATGGTGGAGCCCCAGTCCTGCTGGCCACTTTCTTGTTGAGTGGTACGTTTGCCCCCAGTGGTCTGGGACAGGCATAAGGATCTTGCGTAAAACGGGGGTTTTGCGCCAAAAAAAAAGGTCCACACCGCTTTTTTTTGCACAAAAACCCCTTGCGCAAAAAAACCCTGCAGAAAATATGCTAATGAGATTGTCTTTCTCTTGTCCTCCCTCCCTTCTCTAGCTGACAGGCCATTTTCTCTCCTACCAGCCAGCAGCAGCCTTCTCTCCCCCCTCACATCCAGTGCTTCAGTCAAGGGTTGGGGGAGGGGGAAAGGGTTTGGGGTAAAGGGGCTACTGTCTGGTGCTAGGCAAGATGGTGGAGCCCCAGTCCTGCTGGCCACTTTCTTGTTGAGTGGTACGTTTGCCCCCAGTGGTCTGGGACAGGCATAAGGATCTTGCGTGAAACAGGCGTTTTGCGCCAAAAAAAAAAGGTCCCCACTGCTTCTTTTTGCACAAAAACCCCTTGCGCAAAAAAACCCTGCAGAAAATATGCTAATGAGATTGCGACTCATGCTAATGAGTCCCTCATTAGCATATTTTCTGCCAGAAGAACTTGCAGTGAAGACGTAGCCCTAGTGTAATAAGTGAAGCAGAATACTGAAATTGTAGTGCAGTGGTCACCAACCAGTAGATCGGGATCTACCAGTGGTTCTTGGAGCCTCTGACCGGCGATCCTGACTGGTTTGGCCTGGAAGCTATCAAGACCTGGCACTTCAGTTCCCCTCTACCCACTGTCATGCTGCTCCTGCCCTCTGCCTTGGAGCTGACCCCCTGGAAGCCAACTGATTGTTGTGCAGGGTGTGGGAGGGAGAAGGGGGGACGGAAGGCACTGATGTCAGAGTAGTTCTCTCTCCCACTTCTGTATCCTATTTCCACAGAGAGAAGGGGATGAAGGGAGCCTGGCAATGCAAATCTCTGCCACTCTCACACACTCTGGCTACGTCTACACTGGCACCCTTTTCCGGAAATGCTTAAAACGGAACCGTTTTCCGTTATAAGTTTTTCCGGAAAAAGTGTGTCTACATTGGCAGGATGCTTTTCTGGAAAAGCACTTTTTCCGGAAAAGCGTCCGTGGCCAATCTAGACGCTAAGTGGTCAGTGTACACACAGCCTCTGTGTGTCTCTGTCATTCTCACCAATGCACAGTCCTTCTCTCTCATTTCCTGACCCAATACATGTGGGGTCATTAGTGGTTGTTACTTCCAGGGGCGGACCGTGAGCCTAGGCAAACTAGGCAGTTGCCTAGGGTGCCGCTGGCCCGGGCGCCTGATGATGACATCATGGGGCGCCCCATGATTACGTCACGGCCATTGACAGCCATGCAGGTGGGGGCGCCAATTGCGCCTTCCGCTTGGGGCACCAGATGCCGCAGCCGGCATCAGGCCACTCCTGGTTACTTCTTTTACTGCTTGCAAAGTGGGCTAGTTTTGACTGGTCCGTGCATTTCATAATGTTCATTTCTCTCTTACGCTTACATTTAATTATTTGAATAGTGAATTCTAAAATGCCTAACCTGTCGTGGCTGGAGTACTTATCCCTATAGTAACTACTGCTCCTGGAAGTGGCTGGCATGTCCCTGTGGCCCCTGAGAAAGGCAGAGCAGGGGGTCTCCACATGCTGTGCTTGCCTGCAGCTCCCATTGATCAGCTATGAGGAACTGTGGCCAGTAGAAGCTGTGGGCTCAGTGTCTGTAAATGAGGGGGCAGCACATGGCAGCTACTTTCAGGAGTGGTGCAGGGCCAGGGCAGGAGCAAGCTGCCTTAACCCCAACACCCAGAAGCCGTCTCTGTTAAACTGTGCCCAGCCAGAGCCTTCATCCTGAACCCGTCCCAGTCCTGAACCTCCTCCTACACCCAACCTCCTGCCCCAGACGTAAGTCCCCCATGCACCTAAACTCCTTCCCACAGCTTGCCCCCTGACACCCCCCCTGAACCGCAATCTTCCACCCAGGGCTAAGCCCTGAGCCCCTCCCACATTCCAAACCCCTGGGCCCAAGACCAGAGCCAGCACCCCAACCCCCTACCCCAGCCTGCTGGAAGTGAGAATGGGAAAGGGGAATAGAGTGAGTGGGGTGAGGCCTCGAAGAAGGGGTGGAGCAGGGGCAGGGCCTCAAAGAAGGGGTTGGAAGGAAGGGGGGCAAAGGTATTTGGGTTTGAGGTAGATCTTACATTGCACTTATATTGAAAAAGTGAACTTGTGGTTAAAAAGGTTGGGAACCACTGTTGTAGTGGGAATTTGAATAGGCAGACTGAATCCATAATTTGAACTAGATTAATGGGAAAGCTAGATATTGTGCTGCATGACTGTGTTTTCTTAATACAGGCAGTTCCCAGGTTACGTGGATCTGACTTATGTCGGATCCCTAGTTACGAACGGGGTCCCGCCGCCTGTGTCCTCCGCGGCGAGAAAAGCTGCTCCGCCCCCCCCCGGCTCCGCCGGGGGGGGGCCCCCAGCAGACCAGGGAGACGCAGAGCCAAGCCGCGGAGG